AAAAAAAAAAAAAAAAGGCAGGGCTGCTTTAATAGCCATTTGTTTTCTTTCGCTCTTTATCTGGTAAAGAAGTGTCAGCCACTATCTTTTACAAAACAATTCTTCAAAAGCTTTATAAAAGCACTAGATCTTTCTGAAGCTTTTCTTTTTCCAGTAAAGTAACCAGGATTCCAAATTCTCTAAATGTTTCTTCTTTCTTTGAACTTATGAGAAAATCAATTGCATTTGAATAACTAAGGGAAGTAACTGATCGCTCTTGGTATTAAGTAAGACCAACTTCAGTTTTTATGCTAAAAAATTAAACAAGCTTTTGACCATATTCCTTTACAAATCATCTTTTATTATATAAATTTTAAATAATTTAAAAGCTACTACTTTTCAAAAAGAAAACAGCTACGATTATATCTTCATTTAACAGATTAGGGAGAACCTAGTTTGTTAAAACTAAGAAATTTGAAAACTGATTCAGGAACTGAGTCATATTTCCTGCTTTGAGACCCAACCACAACGTGCACAAACTGGTGTAATAGCATTTTCTTTCTTCCATAAATGGCTCTCCCCAGAGCAAATACAGTTCAACAGGAACCAAACCTGCTACTTAACTATTTAAAGAAGCCAGTGAACAAGGCATGGCCACCAAAGTTTCATAATGTCTGGACGTCCTTTCTTATTTCCCCTATGGCAGTTATAAAGAAGAGATATTTAAAGAGGGTAGCTTTAAAGAGCTTTAATTAAAAATTTCAAAAGACAGCTATTTGTGCCTAAGCTTCCAGAATGAGAACCTGAGACAATAAAATTTAAACAAGCTAGAAGCTATCTATTTGCCTTGATAATATTACAAAAATAGAACAGAACCTAATTCTTGCAACAGCTATTTTTGTCCTGATCAAGGAAAAGTATTCTTTGCTATGTTTTTGGAGAACTAAAGTTGTTTTCGTTTCCATTGTTTTAAAGCAAGCAAGAAAGAGTCAAAACCTTTTCTAGACACACACTTTTTTTTTTTTTTTTTTT